ATATATATATATATATATATATATATATATAAGCCTAAACAAGAATTCCCTTTCCTTTTCTTTTTTTTTAACTATTACACATATTTCAATAAAATATGGTTATTCTTCAAATATTAATTCCAATACATATATAACTATTAAACAAATATTATATATGTAATTAAAGAAACAACTAGAAAGTAAAGACAGATTCAAAACCAACCTATGATTAGAACGTCAAGCTCCTCCTTCAATCCGAAACTTTTCTTTGCGTTGAAAGAATAGAAACTTTCAAAAATTCTTGTAGTGCTTTCAGTTCGGGCACCTTCAATCTAAAAGCTTTTTTTTTTTTATTTGATGTTTTCTCCCAACCTTCAATCGCAGAAACTCTTTTTCCTGTAAAAGTTGACACCAAGCGTGTTAGAGACTCTTCAATTAGGTTAATGTTGAGACAATAATTTTATTTACTTAATTAAATTATCTTTGAGATTTCATTCTCGATATATGATTTTTTTTTTCTAATCATAATTTCCTAATGAAAATAAAAAGAAATATTTTTGCCATCAATGATTCGTGATTTTGCATCTAGTCAGGGATCAAAATTTTTGAAAAACTACAACTGAATAAATAAAACAATGGAGCCTTGCCTTCTATTAATTAAAACGCTGCGTTTGGGTGATGAGCACTTGGTGCTCATCACATTGCTTGGCAGGGAAACTGGGTCCCGAATGAGCCACCTAACCTTCATGGCACAAAATGCAATATTTAATTGTACAATGAGCCACCTAATCGTCATGGCAAAACCAAAAAAAGCCACCTAATTGTAATTTCCAATATTGCAAAATATTTTGTGATTCATTTTATATCCTAAAATATTTTTTTAGGCACATCTAACCTTCTAAATTATTTTTAACAAAAATTTGTCTTTAAAGTATTAAGGTGTTTTAACACTTAAAAAATAAATTAACCATAAAATAATTTAGAGGGTTGGATATATAAAGAAAAATAAATATTTCAAGGTTTGAGGACCGCTGGTAGCTGTGTCCACTTTTAATGCTGGACAATACCCATAAAATTGTTTTTAATAAGAGGATATCTATGTTCAACCAGAGAAGAAAAGAAAAATAGGTCTAATTATAATTCAAAGGAAAGTAACTGAGAATTTTGGCTTTTTCTTAAATGGAATCGATACAGATTTTGATATATAATACTATATCCGATCCTATTTATAAGAGCTAGTTGACTAATTTGAGAAAATTAAGAAAATAAGTTAAATTAGTTATTTGTAATAAATATGTGCTGTCTTTCCTAAAATATCCTTACTAATCAAGTGTATTGGTTAGAACTATTATTATTAGAAAGACTATCTTGGAAAAAATGCATAAATATGATATACAAAATGGATTAGGGTCTTATATTTAAGATCAAAATAAAAGTCAAATAAGATCTTATATTAAGAACTGGAGGTAGTATCTCGATGTCATTTTCCCAAAAAATCCAATGGACATTTCCATTCCAATACTTCCTCGATTCATTCTATGGAAAACTTATCCAGATTTATTTCCATACTGAGTAGTATGAATGTTTTATTATAATTTGAGCAAATAATCGTTATCATCATTTCGTTTTGAGGTTGATTTATTGAATAATTTCTCTAACTAGCTCCACGGTAATGAAGAAATAAACATATAATTTTGTATGATAACGTAAACGAACGGAAAAAAAAACGATAATGAAATGATATTTCATCTTTCAACATCAAAGAAAAGGACACCAATAATAAAAACAGAGAAATAATTGGATTAAATAAAAATATCCAAAGGGGAATCAAAATCCTTTCAGTTGGTGGATCGATGAGAGGACTTTAATTTCATGTGTGAAAGTACAAAATTACCCATCCTTGTTTTCATCGAACCAAAATAATTTCTTTGAGAAATATCCTAACATATTAATTAGCCTCAAATTAATATATCTGAATAATTTATTTTTGTGCATAAGATGTGTAGGTTGATACAAAAGTAAAATGATAGTAACCTATAACTCATAAAATCAAAGCAAATCATAATAAAAATTATACATATATATTATTTTTTGAAGTTGAAATTCCATCGTGATATCATCTAATCATCTAACAATTAATGGCAGATTTTATTAAATTGAATTAGATTTTAATTTTTTTCGTAAATTTCAATATAAGAGAAAATTGAAAGAGCTAGTACGTATTAAAATATGTCATCAAAATTCTTTTTAAAAAATATGTCATCAAAATAAATGCCAAATATGTTAGAAGATGACATCATAATGTTGAGAAAAAAGAAGAAGATGACATCAAAATAAATTTTTTAAAGAAATATAGCATTTCAGGATTACGCTTTTCAAAAATTAGCTAAAATCTTTAACAAAATTGAAGAAAATGTATTTCCGGACAAATGTATCTTTCTTTAAGGCTATTGATAACTTATGAACAGGTAAGTTGACCTTTTAATAAATAAAAAAAAGACTTAAAATTGTATTTTTTTCCCCCCAAAGTATGGTGGTAATATAAAACAAAAGGATGGGCAGTTCCGTCCAATGGAAATTTTAGGTGGCTCAACTCAGAATTAAGCAAAATGCATTGCGTTTGCGTGAATGACAAGTCGGAAGGGGGAACAGAGAACGGCTTCTCTAATCTTTCCTGAAGTACACGTAACAGCAGCACAGTCTGCTCTCTCTCTCTCTCTCTCTCTCTCCCCATCTCTTTCTCTTCGCAATCTCCGAGGAATTTCCTTCCTCTTGCATCCTTTTGACAATATTCTTCCCCAGATTTTCTTTAGAGAGGGTGAGCCGGTGAAGGGAGATAAAAGTGGTGCACGCGTTTGTTTCTGAATCTCAGTTTTACCTGGGGATTTGCTTTTTCTCTGTTTGCAATTGCAATTGGTTCCCGAAAATGCTGGTTCGGAGGAGAATGATGAGTTGGAGGAGGGTGGCCAAGTCTCTGCAAGCCTTTGCAGCTCATGGTTTACTCTTCTCCTTCACACTGCTGCTCGTTCTGAAGCTTGACCATGTCGTTCATTACTCATGGTGGTGAGTTTTTGTTTTTTCTTTCCTGCTTTGCACTGTATCTTTCAATTCCGTTTGGTTGCGCAGAATATGAGGTGGAAAACATTGAAAAAGGATTAAATTGATACTTCTATGTTGTGGTGATGTTAAAAGGATCCTTTTTGTCAAATTTCTCCCAGTCCTACTTTTTGGTGGATGTAGGGGTTTCTGACTGTACGGGTCCCTCTCCCTTTTTTGGGGCTAAATGCTTGCAAGGAGGGCATTTATTTCCCAAGAAACTCTCATTAATTGTGAGGAATACAAGTAGCTTTGCGTGAAAGATGTAGCTTTCTCCATTCGCATGTACTGTAATTTGTGGCATAACTGCATTAATTGAAATGTTATGATTTTCTTTCTATGATCCATGGTGATTTCTTTCTGACTGAGCAATTAGTGGATTAACAATTGTCTTTTGTTTTAAATTATTCGGGAGTCCAATGTTTAAAAGGCAACTTGAAACTGATTATAGATATTCAACTTACAAAATTAGATCTAATTTATTTACTGATGTTTCTGTAAATATGATGTTAGTAGATGGGCTCTTGTGCTCTAGATGAGTTCGGCAATGAAATGCCCTGCTATGAACCGTGGCTATAGGTTATAATTTTATATTGATATTGTTGTTGGTTGGTATTGATTGATTGATTGATTTTATTTCAGCTTATTTACTGTCTATTGAATGAGATCATCTGATTGCTTTTTTAATTCTTTTAAGGCAAATAGCAGAATTCTGCGTAATGCCTCATTGTCTTGCACAAATTCACTTCGCCAAGTGTTTCACTTCTGCAAGATATTTTATCTTTGAGAACCAGAAAAGAACTAACTAATTAGGTCCTTTTAGGATTTGTTCATGAGATTAAAAGTTAGTGGAGTGGATTGGAGTATTCGTTCATGGAAAGGGCAGGACAAATCATAGTGGGAAGAGGGTATTGCTGTCCAGTTGATTGGAACTTTGGTGGAGAGGGGATGTTAACTTATTCTCCACTGTTTTGAAATTACTATATTATTAATGGAGCTAGGTGGGTTTAAGGTCTAAGTTTTCAGTATTATCTCATAGAAGAAAAGGTAAGCAAAGAATATTTGGATGATAAGAGGGTAAAAGAGCAATTGAAAAGATAAAAGACAACCACCCAAACTCTTAATTTGGTTGAGTGGTTGAGAAATTGCCAAATTGGGATGTGGGGCGGGTAGAGGGAGTTTGAGAACTCATCCTGATCCATTCTGCTTCATTTCTCTTGAACAATCCAGAAAATGATTTGATTTTTCCCCTCCCTCACTCCTAACCATCACCTTCCAATCCTTATTCCCAAATAAACCCTACTGATTGGCACTTTTCTTTATAAAAATATAGACAAGTCATGAGCAAGTTCATATGATCGATGTTTTTGAATATGAAATGACCGGTCTTGTTAGTGATGCTTGAGCTTGTTATGGCGTAGTCCATTTGAGTCAAAGTTTTAACTCAGCAAAATGGATGATTGTCTGGTTGCTTTTTTTTTTTTTAATTGGTCTTCCGGATGAGCTGTGGCACCATATCATATGGTCATATAAATAAACAAAAGTGGAGTCAAATTAGTATTCTCAAGTATATTTACTTTATTACATATCCTATGCATTTTATATGTTTAAATTAACCAGTGAAGATGAAGAAAACATATGTCAAATTAGTATTCTCAAGTATATTTACTTTATTACATATCTTATGCATTTTATATGTTTAAATTAACCAGTGAAGATGAAGAAAACATATGATGCTATTATGTCCAAGTGAGGTGCATTTTCTGATTGAGTCTTGAAATTTTATTGAGAGGTGAACTCAATTAAATGATGCCATCACCTTTCCATCTGTAATTATGTTTTGCTTTTTGTTTCCGTTTGCCAGGACCATATTTTCACCTCTGTGGCTTTTTCATTCCATTGTGGCAAGAGGAAGGTTTTCCTTGCTGCTCCTTCAATGCCTCATGATCGTCATGTAAGACAGTTTTTGGAAGATAGTATCTTCATATACTCCTTTCAGTCTTATTTATAAGCTTCAAATTTGGGAAGGGGCATGGTTCATTTTATAAGCTTCAATTTGGGTTTGTCTTAACATTTAATGCATTTTTTCCCAATATTGCCCTAAATTATTTCTCTCTTATCGCATTTTCCCATGTATTCTCTTTCATCATTTTTCTCATTCAAGGGCATATTTGGGAAAAAAAGTCTATTTCTAACCTATTTATTGTTTTTAACTAATTATTTGTTATTCATAAATTAGTTATTTGAAGCTTATAATAAGGACATGAGGGAGTATTTTGAGAGAATTGGAAATTGGTTCTTTGATAGGTACTAGTTACTGAAGAACAAATTTTGTGTATTGGCAGTGGGCTCCATGTCACGCCGTTGTAGCAACACCCTTACTTGTTGCTTTTGAGCTGCTTCTTTGTATACATCTTGAGATCAGTCATGGTATGCGAATTTTCTTGTTTCACAAGGGTCATTCATGTTGTTGAGCTATCTATTACTGACATCGAGATGTTAAATTAATATGCATTTCGATGATGCAGTGGTAAATTTAAAGGTCGTCTTCTTACCCCTATTGGCTTTTGAAGTGGCAATTTTGATTGATAACATCAGGTAATTATCTAATTCTATCACTCCATCAATATATGTATTGTTAGAAAGTTGCACTCTCTGATTATGGGAAACTTGCATATATCATTTGACCAATTTATTGCCGTCCCTGTGAAATGGTCGTGGGGAGTGGGGGACTACTATGAAGGAGCTGGCTAGAAAATCATGAGAGTCATTCAGTTTTATCAGATGATTTATATATGTAATTCACCAATTTGGTATCTGCTTTTTGGCACATCATTTGATAGTTGAGAAGTGTAAAGTTACTGGTAAACGAAATGAGGCTCTGTCCAATGGTCATTGGTTATTGTTGAAAGTTGCCATTATAGCCGTCATACTGGACTTATGTGCTGCTTTATTGATTAAATAAATAAATGTCTACGCTGTTAGGCTTTAGTATCTCAGGAGACCTGTGAGTTTTTTCACTTATTTTAAACTAAATTAATCTTACTATATTTGATCCCTGATTTTGTACCACCGTTAAAGTCATTTACTGTCTTCTATTTTTCTGTTTCTCAAGATTCTAGTGACTGCCTTATGGTCAAGTTTCCTATTTATATCCTCTGCACGTGTTACTCGGAAGTAATAAGAAGAAAAACAACAACTTTGTGCCATTTTTATTAATGCTGTCAATTCCTACAAGGCTTAAATGAATCAAATGCATTGGTTGTTAGCATGAAAAAACTGAAACTGTAGTGGTAATTATTGAGAACCAAAATGTAGGACTTAAGGTGCGGAAGATCCAGAAAGTTGGGGGGAAAAAATTGGAGACTCTAGCAAAGTAAGTAAAATGAAGAAAAAGACAGTAAAGAAATCAAATTATAAAAAATGACCATTGACTTAGAAGATTTGCAGTTTTAGCTCATAGCTGCTATCAACTTGAAGGAGGGGTGTTGAAATTGGATTCTAATCTTCTCCCTTTTTACTTCAAATTCAAATATGATATTTCATTTAGCACACAATTAAGCAAATATTTATGTGAAACATGTGGTTTATTTTTGGAATAAAGGCAGACCTGTAATTTCCCTTTTAGCTAGCCTTTATTTCTGATTTTATATAGCTTTTTTTTTTTTTTTTTTCTGTAT